AGGTATTGTTGCTTTAGGTGATTCGAAATTATCAGAAACTTATAACGTTAAAGAATCCGAGACGCCTAATTTAATTATAAATTTTAATTCAGAAAGATTCGTTTAGTGTTAATTCTAGTAGGCTACGGAGTTTTGATTTTAAACGTTTGTTTAGCCAACAACTACCTGAGGATTTAGTTATTTTACTAGTGCAGTTGATAGTACCTAAATTTTTAATCTTATTATCTAAACTATGTTCGCATTTTGGCTGCTAATATGATAAACCAATCCATAAACCCAAATACGATTAGCAACAACAACTATGATGAGTTTATTGATAAATGTTAAAGGCGACTCAGATGATTTCTAAATTTGGAAGACATGAAGATATAGTGCAACGCATGTACGGGCCAGGTTAACAAGCAGGTTGTTGACGTATATGACAATTTAAAAATAATGAACACGACCAGACTGCTTATGAAACTTTAGGCAGGAATATGACGCGTTATAACTATTCCATAAGAAGTTACTGGATTTAGCCTAGGGACACTTACAAATATGTAGCAAAAGCAACTGGAAAATATATACATGTTAAGTACAAAACAAATCATCCAGTAAAATAGTTGAACTCGCCTGGATTATTTTTGAAAATTAGATTATTCAGTGGACGACATATGTAACGCCATTCGTGAGTAGTATTGATCCAAAAGCATCCAGAATAAAACATGCAGTATGGCAATTAATTCCAGGGTGCTTGATGCTGTTGAGGTTTTTGCCACTCGCTCGGATCAGAACAATCGAATAAACCCAGATAATTGTGTGGTTGTCATTGAACGAACCATCTAAAAATGACCTTATGATTGCAGAAAACTTATAGCTGGAACTCACCGTATGTTTTTGGAGAAGTGTCATCCTTGTTGTTTGGCAATGGAACTCGAAACTTTGAAATTAGGCAGGCAGTGGTCGGAAGAAAAGATATTACATGATAGTGCATAGTTTAAAACAGGAAGAGGTAATAAGATAAGGAACACTGAATATTAGATCCAGGTAACTATTTAGTCCTTGCTGCATTGTTAGTTAATGTATATTTACGCTATTTACAGGTCATATTTGCTAGAGCTTGATGTTTAAACAAGACTATGTCGCTGAAGCATGTAAATGCTATTACAGCTTGTTAACAAACCATCAAAGCTAATTAGTTAATATAGACAACCAGTTTCTATTATCGATTGAGCTAGTTTATCGTGAGGACTAATCAATATAACATTACGATAATGCATGTGAGCATTAATCAGAGGACTATTAGAATACAGGGTTAACATAAATATAAATCGATCGAGAAAGTTGAAGTGGAAATAAGGATTAATAATAATAGGTTGCGTTTCTTTAGTTGGGCTCACCAATGTAGAATTACGGTCTACTATGATATTAGTACTGCTCTAATAATAGACCTAATCCTAAATTTGTAGATTTGTCATGATATAACTGCCTAATCTATAAGATCTTACGTGGAAGTCACACCATCGACTACACCAACTCACTGTATCGTATCAATTACCAATACATGATGTAGAACAAGGTTAGGTTAGAGAAGGAACAATATATTTAATATGAATAGAAGATATAACGTAACATTCAGATGGACCATGCCTGCATGGCCGAGCCATGCCATCCGGTCAACTCCAGTCCATTCAAATCATTGTTCGCGCCTTCTCCATTGTTAGGTATTTCCCCGAGTTAAATATTGAATATCTATTTTCTGAGTAGTCTCGTGTTCACAGATTTGTGGATTGTGTGGCTATTGTCCAATGCCACTACAGCAGAACAAACCATAACCGGACCAGGAGAAGTGTCTTTTCTTGGATTTTGCAGTTTTCGGTACACCAAATCAGCGCTCAAGTTCACCTAGAGAAGTCCTGTGCAGTTGCGGACGAAGCTTCCATCAATATAGTTAATGTAAGTCGGTTGAAATGTGCAAGAGTATTGTTCAGCCGGAAGGTCAGCGGCGTCGAAGAGAGGATGCATAGTCGAATAAGCTTTACGGGTTGGAGACAAACATATCCATACACTTTATCTGGTACTGAAGCCTGTCTTCACGTATTGCCTTCGTGTATATGTTCCTTATATGTTTGTATTGCCTGCACGCGTCGTTGATATTGGTTCGTTTGTATTCTACGTAAATCAACCATTTTATTCAGTAAACACGCGGCGTTCATGTATAAGGAGTCTTTGCTTTCAATTTGAAAAGCGTAAGCTTCTTTCTGTTTGTCTGTATGAGCCTTACGTGGATAGACATGTAGCCTAAATTAACAAGGTTTTTCAAGCTAGTAGCCCTTGTCATTTCCACGTGTTATTTAATAACCTAGACAGTTCACAGGTGGAATTGTCAGCCCCAACTTGCCTTTGTGCTCGATCCCAGCGTCATGTGGCCTATCCGGATGCACATAGATTCCAGTTGGCAACCGGCGTCTGTGAAAATGAAATGTTTCTATAGTTGCAGCCGCCATATAGGAGGATGGGAAGATTTTCTTCATCAGCCGAAGTTTAGAATCTGTTTTTCTTGGTTAGTCCCATCACTTTTTGAGTCAATATGTTTTTGAGCTTCATGGACTGCTTTATGATATTACATTCCCGAATATTGTTAATGTGGTCAGGGTGCGTGTTTTCTGGTACATCTTGCAATATGATATTTCTTCCGCGGAAAAACATATCGCGCGATTCTTTAAGATGTTCTGGATGAAAGTGTGCTCAGAATGTCTTATATCAGGCAGTCTTTTTACGTTCCGAGTTGATATAAATATGCATTGAGTGGCCACATAACATTGCTAGTTTACGAATGTTATCTCTTTAAGTTCTGTATGAAATTAACATTTTCAACTGGTCAAAAGGATCACCAAAATACTTTATGTTGTTGCATGTCGTATGGTCGTCACCGAATGTTTTATACTAGAGAATGAGGATTATAACTTAAGACTTTAAACCGATTTTCTCATGTGTTTTATGTAAAACGAATCCAATAGGAAAACATTATATTTTCGTCTTATGAGATGTTTTGAATAAAATAGATGAAAAGTTCGCGAAGTCTTGTGGTGACGAGGAAAAATTCCTTGAATAAAAAGTTCCGTGATTGTGACCTCATTATTTTTACTAGACACGCCTATCCGAAGGTGCTCGGTCACACATCTGCAACTGGTCACGAATGGACATGTTGTGCTAAACATCGTTTGCAACACCTAATCAGCTTATATCAGATGCCTCGTGATATATAGATAAACTTTCAGCTGTATCCTCGAACCACTTAGTGTTTGACTTCTGATTTGACTAGGTTAGGATACTCCGGTTATAAAGGTGTTGTATGTGAAGGCATTGTCAAAATCCGAATACTTATGTCATCTTTAGTTTCAGCATCAAACAGAGCAAAACTTGAGCTCTGATTACTAATTTGTGACAGTAATAATATAGTTTGAGATTGTAGAGGACTGAGTTGTCCAAACTAATCTTGGTCCTGACATAACATGACTAGTCTTAATAATGTATTATCGTAATGTACGTATAGAGAGGGGAAGGTACTGTAAACTGTCTTTAACATCAGATACCTCACACAACTATCTCTCATTGGTAAATTCCTTTTGATTTAAATGGCATAATTTGGAGAAGTATTATTTCGGGGTCGTCAACATCCTTGGTACAGTTGAGTTTTTGGTCAAACTTTCTGATTGGTAGTCATAATATTTTGAGACTTCGAAAGTCATTGGTTGAATCAATTACTTTTCGCTTGCTTCCAATTTCGGCAATATGAACATTCGGCTCTAAGTGGTCAACTGGCTTGAGTCATATTAATGCATTGGACTTTTCACGTCGTGGTATGCTATCAAAAGGGCTGCCTGTTCCTGCCATCTAGATATTTCAACAAGTTATCTATTGTTGTTTGTTTTAATATATCATTATGTCTATTAATCGCATAACCTACTCTGCTGCGTTTCTGAAAAGTGTACAACCTTTCGTTGTCAAAGTTACAGAAAACTCAATAAGAGACAATATGGTTGCTGGCAATATACAACGAAAAGAATGTACATTATTCAATTGTTCATTCACTGAAGTGCTAACATCTAACTGGCGATCCCTCAATATTTATCGCCAGGACGGACCAAGAAGAACGAAACGGAAACTTGTTGAAATACTTTGCGCTGAGAATTCTATATTGTACCAAAATTATGATATTGAATAAAGCTAATAATAATAATAATAATTTGTCGATGTAAAACAGTGATTTCTCCTGCCATATTATTTGAATTACCACATAATACCTTTGTAGTCTGTCACTTTTTCTCTGACTCGTGCTATGGGCAATCCCTGGTCACTCGAGTACTTATCGGACAAATATGTTTGACATTACATTCAATTCAACAACTACTTATCATAGTTGTTTGTTCTACCAGAATCCAGGACTTCCACTTACTATCGAGCTCAGAAATTTATTTTAGAATTTTGTACCCCAGTAACAGGCTTATTTGATCGATTCACCTGTGTGGGTCAGAAAATTGGATAGGCATATTCCAATGGAGTAGGAAGATTTAAGATTTAGACCATAACCATCTTCTCGTTGGTAGCTTTCCGGACTAAGCTGCACACCCCCAGTGTTTCACGTAACCTTAAACTAGGTCAATTTCACTTTAGCCATACCAACCTTCGTTGACAAAATACATTTTATTTGGTAGTTTTTCTTTATGTTCCATAATTATTATTGCATATCCAAAACATCATCTATCCGACTGTTTTTTAGTATCAAACATCCGCATCACAACGGGATTACAATCAAACCCACTGGAAACAGCCATCACTACTAGATTCAGATTACACTTACTTACTTAGACTGTCATTGATCTTACAGAGTCTTATCAAAAACCTCATGTTTAAATGATAAAAGACCCGGTGACTCAGAATCGACTATATCATCATCAGGTTATCACGACTGACCAATGGATTATACAGAATAGGATAAACAACTGAAGTCAAAAAATCACTTGACAATATTCTTTGTTAATAGACAAAAGTAATGTGTAATACAGAATTTAATCAAGTTTATAAAGTGTATAATGATCAACAGTCAAATAATATATCACAAAGAATGTAATCGATTAATAAGAGACAAATATGTTTATGATTGTTTTTTAACTAATTTCGGTGTAGTATAAATATCTAAACGCCGTTGTCGACCAATTGGAATACTTTCACGAACACATTTCAATTCAGAAAAGTCTAAATCAGCTGTTATAATTTCCTCCTACAATAAAAAATGAAGATTTTCAATGATTACAAACACTTTTACAAATTCAATGATAATAATAAAATTACAGGATACTTTAGAAACAAACGAACAATATTGGATAGTGGCTAGCAATGGAATCCAGGGCACGCGTTTCGTCTTATTTGGGACTCATCAACTGGATGTAACTGCATCTGAGTTGATGTTCACTCTGGGACTCGAACCCAGTATCATTCGCTTCAAAAGCCATCGCGTTATCCACTCAGCTACTGAGTCCTGATAGCCACTTGCTTGTGCGATGGAGTGAATTTGAATTCACTTAGTATTGTTTGGCTTGTATCTGACAAATGACCAATACATTTCAATTGTCCAATTAGAGTTACAAGTTGTGATCTATGATGCCAAAAGTGTCATGACCTACGAAACAAACACACTGGTGTATAAAAATGAACAAGATTTAGGTACCAGACAACACAATCTATAGGTTTTCCTAGGCAAAACAACACCATCTTTAGTGAATTATTGGGTTCATTTACAGTATATTATACCGTTCAAGTAAACTAGGGGGATTCAGTTGATCTAGTAAAATACAGTAATAGCAAATTGTGAATACTTACAGAGTATCAACTACTCTACGGGGAATAAACAAGAGAAATTTTTACTCTCTAATCTCAGACCAAAATTATTAGAGATAAAAAACAAATTATTGACTGAGAATTTTACCAGATCTATTAAAGGATGACAAACAGTTACTCTGAAATTAAGTGAACCGAGATAAGGAGACTGTGCCATGGAAGGCAGTATAAAAACGAAGAACATGATGTGAGATTACTGAGCGATAAAAATTAAATTTTATTTAAATGATAAATTCACTTGGCATTGTTTGTTTGAATCGTCCCATTGATTTTTAGGACTGTGATAGCTACAAGTAAGTAACTATCTGGACTCAGAAGCTACGTAGATAACGCGATGGCGTTTGAAGCGAATGATACTGAGTTCGAGTCCCAGAGTGAACATCAACTGTGAGATAAAGGTATATCCAGCTGGCGAGTTCCGAATAGGACGAAACTCACGTCAAACTGGATTCCACTGCCAGCCACTATTCATCTTTGTATATTTATATAAAGTAAATTATGAGAAAGTAACACACAAAAGCTTTTCTACGTCATCCCACCATACGAAGATGAGTTAAATAGGCTCAAGTCAGTTGTTAATAAAATGTACTGTGCAGAAAAGGTTATTATCATTGGAAAAACAAGGTCCATGTTTCATCGGAAACCTAAACGGCATGTAAACGATTGCATCACATCACACGGATTTTTTTAACAATTTATATGTGTGCGACCACACACATACATGATGAGCAACCGTGACTTGTAAGTTAAGGTCTCTGGATATGTATCAAAATGGTTACAGAAATAAATAAATTCAAACATATAGTAGAAACAGGTCATCAGACTAATGTGTTAACTTAGACTTTGTAGTTTTGTACAAAAGTTGTCTAGAGTTCATCGAGGCCTTGGTCATACTAACATTCACCCCCCCCCTTATATATACAGAAACAGTATGTTTTCAACATCGCAAACCTACCCTGATAATATTGATTTATAACCTAGAATGGTGAGTTACTGACTGTTTTTCATATTATTTTCTTTATTGTCATTGTTCCCTTTTGTTTACCATACATAACTATTCAATGACAAGTATACGAGTGATTAGATTATTCAAAATGTATTGAGCTAATATATTTGCGTCTTCTTACTACATTATCATTAAAACACTTCTACATTTCAAGTTGAATTCATCAGGGGAACTAGATTTCAAATAATTAAACTGCTTAGAATTTCAAGTGTATTGATGATTGAAATATCTAGTCTCTAACAATTACATGTAAGATTATGCTCTGCCAGACTCTAGAGAATCATAGCCAGTTGAATGTTGTATGTCCTGGGTTCGAATCTCGCAAGGCGGGATCGAAGATGCGTACTGCTGAGGAGTCCCACAATGGGATGGAACGGCTGTCTAGTGTTTCCAGGTTATCAATGGTGGTCTAGCTTCAATTGATTTATGATCCCAACCATTAAAACTTAAATAACTTTATAATTAGATCATCTCTATTAATACCGTGTATTTTATGTACTTATATTTAACAACAACTTTAGTATACTACACAGTAATGGTAAGTAAAGAAATTTTTAGCGTATACAATTGTTTACCTTTATTGAAAAAAAACTGTATCAACTAAACTAATTACAGATATATAACATTCATCCGGGTTTTTTCTGCCTGATAATGGCTTTGTTTTCTCTTCCAACCACCACCGCCAACTATGACATGCAATATTTGCCTGTGTATGATTAGGTTGGAAGAAGACTAGAAGAACACAAACTAAAATCTTGTTGATTGATGTAGACCACTTAGTTGAGTCCCATACGATAATTGTGATCAGTAGTTAGAGACGTCGAATAATATGACTGAGAATAGATCGCAATCACACAAATGAATTCAGTCTCTGTCTTCCATCTTGAATTTTGAGTTTTAAAACTATCTTATACTCTTTTATTTCTGAATCATAATGTCTACGCTGAATATTTTGAATGAATCTGACATTTTTTCCCCTCGATTATCTCATCTTGCTGGGATAATACAATATGATATGGCAACTTGAATCGATGCACAAGTTCTACGTTGATTATGTGTGGCTGACTCCTCAAAACTTGATGCTATCACCAGGTTACATAAATCTATCAATAGTTTACTTTCATAAAGTTGATCTGAAAAGTTCAAATGAATAGTGAAATACAATGAATTATTATCAGTATTATTCATCAAATACTTACCTCTTTACCGCCTTTAGCTATAACTATACCCCATGGTGAAGTGATCAATGATTCAGCATGACTTATATAGTCTAATTCTAGATTACAAGCTGGACTACACATTCCAACATAACATTGTGTGTCTAAAGCACGTGCTCTACCCAATAATTCCCAATGTAAAGATCCTAAGATTTTTTTGGAGGGGAAAGGGAAGGAGAAGTGACAAATGGAAAATAAAGTATACTTTCTAATTATTGAAGTGAAAAATATACATGGTTACAAGAACATTTTTTTCCCAGAAAAAAAGACCACAAGTTTCACACAAAACTATTACTAAACGTAGTAGATAAATAGACACAAATAAAAACTGTACTTCCTTGTCTAAGTAAAGGTATTCAAAAATCATACCAAGTCAATTTGACACTGTTAATGTAAATATCAATCTGAAAATTATCACCATATAGTTGTGGAGAATGTTGAGTTTAGGTTGATATCATGAATGGATCAATGTAAGACCACTACTAAAAATCTGAAAGCACTGGAAGGCTGTTTCGTCCTAGTACGGGACTACTCAACAGTGCGCATCTAGAATCCCGAAAATTGGTACGATAAATAATAATGATAATAACCAATCAAAAACTGGGTAATTAGATTAAAGTAGTAATCAATATCGTACTATCTTTTTCTTATTGATGATCGAATTTTATCGATCAAGTAATATATGGTCATAATTTAGTGCATTGACAACTCGATTCATATTTGTTCAACGTTAAAATGGTTAGAGTTGTTCTGATCGACATTAAACAAGATATTTCTATATAATATCGAGGGAGATGATGTTTCCTCAGTAGTGTATTCAGAACTATTCTGATCGAGAAATGAAATCCAATGGGATTAATTAATCCTTAATGTTTAATTTGTGTAAGCATACTAACGTCATACTACCTAGTCACTAATAATCAATGAACCCAATTTGAGTAAAGTTTCGTCCTCTAAAGTGAATAGTTTGGCCGTGAAGCTTTTGTTCTTCTCCTTTTGAACAACATCATCAGCACAAATTTCAGCTAGAAGTGAGGTATTCAAATTGCTCTACATATAACTGACAGCCTGTCCTGTCAACCATGATCTTTATTGATTATTCTTAACCATTATTTCTGTCATTGTCGGTACATCTATTTTGATTAATTCTCTTATTGATCTGATTCTTGATTCTATATTTGTGTATGTGATTTTGTTAATCGATTGATAAATTGAGTCGATTACGATTTTCTTTTTTATTGTTTTACTTGAATACTAAGCTTTTCAAAAACAAAAAAATTCTCTGACCTATTTATACACCCCTTATTCAAAAATGTCAACGTTTTTACAATCGAACGTGCCCATCGATATAAACGAAGCTACAACGTCATAGCATTTAACAGTTAAGCTGATATTCATGGCAGATGAGGATGAAGAGGGTGTAAACTTTGTTCAAATTCATGTTTCATGAAGTTGAGACAGTTTATTTTATAGATGAGATTATACTTTTCCCCTGTCCTGTTACGGCCAAGAGTCAGGAGAGTTCCGCTCTCCCTCTCGAAATGCTTTCAAATGGCCACGCGTATATAACCTCTGTCAGGAAATTCCTACTCACTTCCTTCTCGTGGCGCGGGTGTTGTTTACGAAAATAAGACGACGAAAAGCGAATGTCCGGCGCTTTAACCGAATTCCAAACCAAATTAATGGTGCACATGGGCTTTAGGATGCTGAGGGAGGAAATGACGTATGAACCAATTGTTGGTCACCGGCTACTATGGGACTGCATTTCCCCACGATGCTCTACTGCCTTGTGGATTAGACCTTTAGATCGAAGGCTCCGTGTGTGACCCCCTAAGAAAACCACCTGCTTCGGTTTGGGCACACGGGCAGTATCACAGCCCTCACACATATCAAATGAGATTTGTGTGGCGCATATGTATTTGGTGCCTCCTTGTACCAATATCTATGTGTTAAAATAAATAAATAATAAATAAAGAGATTATACTTATATTAATGAGTAAAATTTACAATACACCAAATTAAATAAATCCATTCTATTCAACAATGGTGTTTGTTTTTACTTTACGATAAAAGATAATCAAGGGTAACAACTATATGAGAAAAAAATGGAATAGAATTACTCTTTTCTTTCGTATATAATATTAAATAACTAAATTGTCTGACGAAAGTATAGAACTATCAATGCGCTAAATGAGAACACAAATAGTGACTAATCAAATGTGGCTATCAGGACTCAGTAGCTAAGTGGATAATGCCATAGCAACTAATCGAATGTATTTGAAGACAAAATTATAAAAACATTAAAGTAAAATCTGAGAACCATACAGTGAATACGTAAAATGTCAATCGATTGTCTCAAACTTGACTGTTCCTGCATTTTCATATCAATTACTTTCTGTTCCCATTCTTTCTTTCTTGACCTACTACGGCCAGACATTCTAATCTTGACTATCATTAGATACTACTCATGTCGATATAAGTAGCACATAGCACACAAAGACCAAGAGAAAAACATTGTTAATCTGACAGAAATTTCATTAGTTATAATGGTAATCTGAAAACTTCAAAACTTATTTTTCTTTTTTAGTTAGTCTTAGTTATCATGACTTTTGTAGAACATTGTAAGATGTTAAACTAGCAAACATCTAGAGTATAAATTTAGTTTGAAATAGTTTGATTTATCCAATTGTTGATAGTTTTTTTTTGCCTGAAATTTGATAAATCTTGGTTAGTATATAAGCAGCATCCTATGTAGATTGCTATGATATAGTTGTTATATCAATGCAATACGCAAGATTGATCAAATTTCTGTTAAGATATATCAACAACATGATAATTTAGAAAATTTCAAGTTGAATTAACCATATAAAAGTTGAACAAGTAAATGATTATGTGAGATTAAAAGCTAAATGGATAAAGCGATTATATTTGATGCGGATGGTACTTGGTTTGAGTTCCAGAGTGAATATAAACTCTAAGACACAGGTAAGTTCGATTGATGTGCCCTGAATAAGACTAAACGCACATTCTTGATTGTATTGCTGTCCACACTCCATGTATTCTATATTACATCGCATGATATTATTGCATTCATTTACATTTTCGAGCAGAATTCATTTTAGCTAAACGCTATAAAGATAAATCTCTACCTTCTAATTGTTCTAGTAGTAGTTGTTGTATCTACACAATGCAAGATAATTGTAGATATGTATATTTATGCTTGTTAAATATTTGTACAATGAATTTCGTATTTGACATTCGAGTACCAATAGAAAATATCGACTGGAATTCATCTGACAAGTAAGTTGTCAGCCCACATTTATTTATTTCAACAGATAAATACTGGTACAAGGGGGCACCAGATACATATGCACCACACAAATCTCATTCCATTTGTGTGAGGGCTGTGATACTGACCGGGCGCCCAAACCGAAGCACGCGGTCTTCTTAGGGGGCCACACACGGAGCCTTCGATCTAAAGGTCTAATCAACAAGGCAGTGGAGCATCGTAAGGAGATGCAGTCCCGTGGAAGCCGGTGACCAACAATTGGTTCATACGTCGTTTTTCCCTCGGAATCCTAGAGCCCATGTGCACCACTGGTTTAGGATCAGGGGTTTTCCGATCCTCCTAGGTGGATCCACTTTATCCACCAACCCGGTTAAAGCACGGGACATTCGCTTTCCGTCCTCCCAATTTCGTAAACAGTAGTAATGCCACGAGAAGGAAGTGAGTAGGACTTCCCTGACAGAGGTTATATACGCGTGGCCATGCGAGAGCATTTTGAGAGGAAGAGCGGACTCTCTCCACTCTCGGCCGTACCAGGGCAGAAAAACGCATATGATTAGAAAATAGTTAGACACTTGAAGACGGTCAGTCACTTGGATCCATTATATTTATATATATATATATATATATATATGGGCACTTAAAACTTTCAGCAAGTACCATTTTACTACAGAACACACATAAAAAAGAGGAAAGAAAAGAAAGGTATATCATAAACTTACCAGTTTTAGGATTGAATGCAGCAGGGAATAAAAGTAATTGACATCCTAATTGATTAGCATAAAGAAGTGATAGTTCCGGAAAACGAATATCATAACATATACCAATTCCAACTCGTATTACTGAAATTTTATTCTCGGCATTTTTTAAAGGTATCTCAAAAGAGAATGTCTCTTTACCAGAACTAAGTGAAGCTGATTCTTTAAATGTAAACTGACCTAAACAAAAAAAGCAATAAAGATAAATGAAATTTAATTTAATGATATCGAAACTGAAAAGATAAAACAAAATAGATGAGTCAACAAAATGTACCATCATCAAGAAGGTACAATTATTTATAAATAGTTGTCTACGCAAGATACTCAACATCCATTGGCCGGATACCATCAGCAACAACCTTTTGTGGGAGAGAAAACACTAGTTTTCAGCCGAAGAGGAAATTAGGAAAAGACGATGGAAATGGATTGGACATACATTACGGAAATCACCAAACTGCATCACGAGATAAGCCCTAACTTGGAATCCTCAAGGGAAGAGGAAAAGAGGAAGACCAAAGAACAGATTACATAGGGAAATAGAAGCAGATATGAAAAGGATGAATAACAACTGGAAAGAGCTGGCAAGAATTGCCCAAGACAGAATTGAATGGAGAGTGCTGATGAGCGGCCTATGTTCCTCCACGTGAAGTAACAGGTGTAACCAGCCAGAACAAAATAAAAATTCAATGTTATTAGACTTGATATCATTATTATTTCATCTGTAAAATACAGATTTGAACCTGATTCTACGTGTATCAGGGTAAGTGATATTACACTGTTACTTAAAAAGGAATAGATGGGCGAGAGTTCAAACCTACGAGCTGCTGGCAAAAAATTCCAACGATCTAACCACAGAGCCATAGTACAAGAAGAAAAAGAAAGTAAATTTACTATAAAGTTTTTTTATGTATAACAAGAGCGCCTTTTAAAAACCGAATTGTTGATAAAATATAATGAAGTAAATACTGATATTTCTGAATCGGTTAAAACTGTTAACTGAGAATAAAATACATATTGAATCGATGAAAATAGTGACGTAAAGTTAGCGAAATTATTTTACAAATGAGACTAAATGCGTTTACTCGGTTATTAGCCATAATATAACGTAAGAAGACTACAGATAATTCCGTTAACGGCACCAACTGATTTGACTGTAGGTTAATGTTTGATTTTGAATGGATCTTGTTTCATAACCTGGTAACGAACTACGAAGTAACGTGTAAAGAGGAACATAGACCTCTAGAATGACGTATATATTAATTGCTATCTTGAATCTAATTATAACAATGTTGATCAACAAATATATAAAGTTGTAACATCCCAATGGGTAGAAAAATTGGATTTTTAATTTTTTCGATGTTTTGTGGCTGTGTATTGATCAGTTTTGAAAAAAGATCTTATATGAGTCTATTTCATGACAACAAAGGTATCAACTACATATCTGAGATAAATTCGTAGTTTAGATTCGGTCTGGGCAACCGGGCGGTATCAAAGCCTGCACACAAATCAAGTGATTTGTGTGGCGCATATCTATTCAGTGCCCTTTTGTACCAATATTTGTGTTCAAATAAATAAATAAATAGGAATAAATGTCATCAACGAAAATATTTGATTCTAAATGTGACATAAACAGTGTGGCTACAGTCAAGGAAACTGGTGATCCAATTACTATTCCATTTTTCGGTTGTATAATGTCCCCTTAACAGTAAACAAGGTTGGATTTAAGCACAGTTTTAGGGATTTCATGATCGGACTGATGCTTAAAGGATATCTGTCAGAAAAAGTATCATCACTCTCTATCTATCTCTCTTTCTAGTAAACCAATAATAAAATCTAAGCATCTATGAATATGAATACTAGTGTATGATGATCCACCTTATAGCTTACCATAATTTCAATCTTTTCGAGAATTATGTAAGTTGTGTTGAAGTGGCTTTAATATACTACTTAGATATTTAGATAATGAATATGTTGGAGTGTTTGTAAAGTCTACTATAGATTTTAATGAGATGTCTGATTTATGAATTTTAGGTAAACCATAAAAACGTGGTACAGTGCATGATTTGGGGTATAAATTAAACCATAAACAGATTGATTTTAGTTCTTTCAAAAGTTGATTTGTCTCTGATTTGACTTTATTTTTAACCGTTTGAAGATATTTTAGATCAATCTTTTGATATGGTTCTGTGGAAAGATGTTCAAAAGCTTCAGTATCATAATACTTTTTATTCATGACTACTGTTGTGTTAAAGTGTAGAGCTCTCAGTTCTTCTTTTCGACTGTTAGGTGTAAGGTGTTTTTTTAGTCAAAATATGCGATGTTTTTTGACGTATTAAATGAGACTCTATATCCCAGTAGTTGGTTTTATAATTAGAGCAATATCAAGAGTACTAAGTGGTGTTCTGTGATTTCATGTTTGCTTAGATTCCTGTCTGTGAAATAATGAACAATTCTTAGACCATTAGAGTCATCAAGTTGATATTAAAAATATCGAAATAATACAAAACGTCTTTTCAAACTACAAAGAAAGATGGATAGCTAAAGCTCTCGATATATTGCTTAACTGCCTTCAATAGAAAAGGTATCATTATGCACCCGACGTGGACCATCTATCTGAGCTACCACGTCTGATTCTATTCTCATACAAATCCTGTCTCATCATTTCACATTTTTCATCCATCAACACACGCACATACAAACATGTTTCACATAAAACATATTGACCGAAATGACATGACATTGACTTGGTTAAACTTGTTTTTAGATCCATCGCACTAAATATTCTTGCTTAATTCTTTTGTATTATTTAAACTTGGGTTAATTTGATGTGTTTAATTATTCTCTGAAGAAGTGGCCTACAACGAGTTACGAAACGTCGGAAAATCTAAAAATCCAACTTTTCTACCTATTGGGATATTACAAATATATTATTTTTTATTAGTAACAATCTACCCAATGCTTAATTTATTTAAATTACCCAATTAAACCTCGGTAATGAAATCTAACTATAACAATTTATCAATAAACAGACTATATGTAACTAGATACAACTTGATGTAAGTGAGAAGGGAGATGTTAATTCACTTACTATCGAAAACAATATTTCAAGTCAAGTTTTTCACATTGATTCATTGACATCGACTAATCCAATTTTTAATAAATTTCAATTAGTATGGATGTAGAATTGTGGAGATTGTAGGATTTTCATAGTTTAAATCATGAATTGATCTAAACTAGACCACTACACTATTGGATGCAGGCTCAGTGGTCTAGAGGTTTAGAGTTCACGTACAAGAACGAAGTATTTAATCCTCGGTCAGGTCGTGGATGTGCATTGCTTGGGAGTCCCATGCTAGGATAAAACGGTCGTTTAATGCTTCTAGGATTTTTCAAATGTTGGTCTAGCTAAGTTCGTGACTTAAATTCTGAAGTTTTCAACTAGGCAAAATTCATCAGTTAGTATGTAAAATTAAAAGATTTATCACAACTAAAAAAAATCCTGATTACTGATCCCCCATATATATGAGATCTCTTTTCTAATAAAAACTTAATCATGTCCAAAGTGGATTCGAATTCATAACATATCTGGTTGAAAGCAAAGTGTAAACGCAATAAAAATTTACAAAATGTATTTCACTGTTGTCATTTAAACTAAGCTGAAAAAAATAGAAATAGGTTCTTATTAACAATAAATTATTTTAAACCGGATTTATTATGTGATTGGCAAAGAAATCACTCCTCCGACAGACATACTGGTTTTAAATGGATGCGAGAGTTAAAACAGAACAAACTGAATGAAAGTTGGATCTATAAACTACAGAGTCAATTTGCTGCAACACATTTACGATCATACACAAAATAGTTCTGCTGACTTTTTTGTCAAACACATAGTTTTATCAGAAGGGTGGTTGTGGATATTATAATTTTAATAGTTGAGATCATGAGTCAATTGAAGCTAGACCACCATGGAAAACCTGGAAGCACTGGATAGCTGTTTCTCACTGCTGAAAAGTCCCATGATAGGACAAAACAGCCGTCCAGTGCTTCCAGGTTTCACATAGTCTTATATCCAAAAGCTTAAAATACAACATCTAACAGATTATGACATATGAATTATGTGACCATAACACGAGATTACACACAACACATATTCTCATTAAATTTATACCAGACGCTAGCATTGAAAACTGAAATTTAATGTGACATGAAACTGATTACATTTTGAAAGTCATGCTGACTACAATCCCAGATAATAAATAATTTCATCATTTGAATATGAAATGGTAATTTAAAGCCATTAGGATAACTTCTGTAGTTTTGATTGACTCAGTCAGACAGTCAGTCAGCTGCAACGTAGGACAAGGCACATATATGTATCGGTTCAAATTGTCACACCTCATTAGCACAATAAGGTGAACACCAAATTTATAGAAGTAATTACTTCAATGGTGGTAATATATAAAACAAGGATTGAATATAAAGATATGGTACAGGAAGAAAGAATTAGTTCGTAGAACGAAAGATATGAAGTGATTTTAATCTCATAGTTTAAAGGAAGACAGAGAGTGTATACACCTACACCGTTGTTATCGATTCTGAATCATGTCACACAAAGTCTCCAACTATTGGTTACGATAGTCACGCGGACCCCAACCAAGTAGTCTGCATCTACCAACATGGCTAAGACTAGATGTTAGTGAATTCAAGGACTGATGCCACATTTTGGTTTGGCCGCCCCTAACTTTCTTCCAACCATCCCCAACACTAGTCAGCGTTGCACGTCATTGTAATTGGTGTTCAGTTATACGTAGGACGTGGCTCAAGCATCTCAGTCGATGAAGATTCACAACCTCGTCAAATGATTTACCATCATTGCCTAATACTATGCGTCTAACCTTATTACAAATCATACTGTTACATGGTTGACCTGAATACGTTTACCTATAAGTTAGTGATTTTACCATTGGATAAACTTGTCATTTATTAGATTTGTATCGACTGTTAGTTTAGAAGAGAAAACGGAAACTTAATACTAGAGAACAATTATGTTTTATTGAAAAAAATTCGACAGTTTCTTTAGATTACCTGGTATATCAATATCGAACAAGTGTAATTTACGATATAACCCAACTAGTTCACCATCTGGATTATATGTTGCACAACAGTTATATAACTTGCCATCAGGTCCACGTTCAGGGATAGAACCACCGACAAGCCATATTTTATGAGATCTGTAAATGATTGAACAAGTATTTGTTTCAAAACCTATTTGTTATTAAATGTTAAGGACAAACAGTAAACTGTCATTGTATCTCTGTGTAATTTACGGTGTCACGTTTTGTAGCCTCCAGCTTACAGAGATTTTTGACAACGATATTCAAATGTATGATTAACTTACACCTTTACAACACATACAAATGAACTACGATTTTATGGTTTTTTACAAATATAAAGTTAAGTACTGCAATAATCTTGATCTTACAGAAACACTGTTAATGCACAGAATTATGCAGTCTAAATGGCAAGCGCAACAGCGAAAGAACGCACATGCCATTGAAAACCAACCAAAAAAAGAAATGAAATAACTTTAACTGAAATCTTCATTGTGGAAGAATGCAATCACAGTTAAACTTACTTAGCAGCATCTGATAGCATTTGGCATGACGGACCGTTTGGAACAGTTTCTGCATAGGGTCCAAAATATTTTGCACCAATAGGGGAGGTAAAGCATTCCGGAAGGCATACAAGGTGAGGTGAATGCTCAGATACAGCTCGACTAATTAATTCAGAAGCACGTTTTATATTGGCAGTCTTATCTGCGCCCACGAACATTTGCAATAGTGCCAGTCGTAACATTTTCACAATCTGTTAGAAAGAATATTTTATTTCAAATGCTAGGTAATTGTTTAAATAAATAAAATCTGATCATTTATGATAGTCAACACATTGCAGTTTTTACGCGAGAATATAGTGATATAAAATTTAAGGGTGGAACATAAATCATACCTTTTAAAATTCATTCACATTTAGTACTAAATGTTACAGCAATACTTTCCGTAAATTAACCCTGAAAATCTAATCCTCCCAAAAATGTCACCATTCGACTTACTAATTGTCTCTTAGTTAAATATTTCACAATCCGTCAATCGGGTTTGAATGCGTAAGTTTTACCTAAAAATTACTGGCTTTTTCTAGATACTCTCAAGTATTTGACTAAATAACTGAGTCATTCCATCACTATATCTACTGCGGTTTATGTAGCCTGGTTACATGACTACCCCTCATACCTAAAATGTGGTTCAAAATCAAATACACGAATATTTACTTGGTAAAGGCGATGAAAAATAATTAAAATACTAGCTTGAACAAACCTGACTCTTATAAAACCTCAACAAGGCGGCTCATAATCTAGCATGTAAGTTTATAATTTTACTTGGTTGTGCATATTTGAAAGATTTTAATCCTACTATTACTACATGAACATTAAGAGACCTTTGATATAATGAATATGCAAAGGCAGGTTTGTGTGAAAACATAATACATATCTCACTAGAAATGACTTTCATGAAAATATGTATACACAATATTTCTAGTTGTATTCATTAAAATAGTGGCTTCACTTACTGTGAAAACAAAGAGCAGTCACACATACTGTTGTTTAAAAGCGAGCAGGAAAGCCCAACTAAATGGTCTTACTTCCCGATTTGTTGGCAACAGGTTGCTACGAACTGCACTGCCACAGAATAAAACTATGAACTGAGCAAAGTACTTGATGTTTTATGAAGAGGTAAACATTATGTGAGTAACAGTCAAAAGCCCATACTACAAAACGTTTAACACAAGGGAAGACATGGAAACAATTTTCTACCAATCCTGTAGCGCATATATAGAAATTTTCAATTTAACACAAGATCTTAAAACTTCGGATCTGACATTTAAACCTTCATTGATATCAAAGTAACAGAGGTTAAATAATAAGGGAATTAAGACGTCATACTCAAAGCATTGAGACGGGACGAAGATGTTTAGACAGATTTAAATAATCTCACACTTAATCGAATGTGATTTTTTCAATATTTACTAATGAACATACAGTAAACAGAACAGCATTTTCTCAAGATGGGATAAATCCCCTTTTTGGTATAAGCAAATTTGAGTTCCCATTATCGATAAAAAGAAGCGAGTGTTTGGATTACATGTTGGCTTAAAAGCTTCAGCGAAGGAATTTAGTGACCGTCTATAGAAGTAATTTGCCTCACTAAGAGAGAGTAAGCTAAGTGTAGAAAGCAACCATAGCAGTGATTTCGACTTCTAGAGTCAAGTTACATGATTCTGAGAATCAACTAAGGTTTATGAATAATTTTCACGGCACATAATTACAAGTCAACGCCTTCACATCTTTTTTAGATTTAAGAGGATGTTGCCTTATTCCAGGAAATACTTTTTATCGCTACAGTAATAACATAAACTTCCCTGATGACTACAGCGAATTAGTGAGTTGTTGATTTAATTTGTACCACAAACCATTTCGTTCATGGAAAATGGATAACATGATACGCACCTACAAGTGTGGTGCCGACGAAATAATTCTTTAAGACAACCTGATAACGCAAACTGACTGAAGAATCTGAACATGGAAAAAGATTCATAACAGTGATTTTGTTATGAAAACAGCAGACAAAATGCAGATTTACTTAGACGAGTCCTCGAAATGTCCTGGTAAGGTCGAGGGTGGTGAGTCAGCTCTCCCACTAAAATGCTCGAACATCGCCATGCGTACATAGCCACTACAGATATCAACATAAACACTTCCTTTAGAGTAAGGGCTATATATTTATATGTACTAAATTGTAGCAATCGTTAACTACATAACAAATAAAATGCTGTATAAATTAAACAGTCTCCTCTGTTGTTTCATATAGATAATGTTTGCAATGTATGTATGCAACAATACAACCAACTTCATAATGTTTGTCACATGCGAAGGAACCATTAGTTGCTCTGTATTGCAGATGAAACATGAAAATATTGATGACCACAAAATTTGTGATACAATTACAGTGTTTCAACGACCTACTAAACAACATAGGCTACTTAAAACCAACTACAAGCCAAGACGATCCTAAAAGCTCCGAACATCACCTGTTTGAAATTTCGCTAAGCAATACGATATGCAATCTAAATTTAGAAAATTAGTGTACATTGAATTAATTCTTCCAGTCAATCCTTTTAACTGAATGAAAAGAATCCGAAACACACTCAATTATCAAGACGGCTGCTCAATCCTTTTCACCGCAGTAATTTTAGAGAATTATAAACTTTAAACGTCGTTTCAGTGACTTATCAGTGGATGTCAGATTCAGATTCAGATTTGTGTAGTAAGGACAGAAGGCCTACGGCCTATTTTATTCCTTTTCTAGTATGCTTCTGTGAGTGTCCAGTCTTCTCTTGAAAGAGTCAATTGAAGGTGCGGACACCACTGCTTCAGGCAGCAGGTTCCAAGTATTGATGACTCGGTGTGAAAACCTGTATGCCACGGGTATTTTGTTCGTTCTTGGCTTTTCTACTAGACTGCTATGTCCTCTGAGGTGTCCCGATCTAGTATAAAGAAAGAGAGAGAATAATTTAGGTCCGAAATCATTTCTCAGTATTCTGTACATCAAAATTAGATCTCCCCTTAGTCTGCGATAGGACAGAGTAAAGAGGTCAAGTTTTTCAAGCCACTCTTTGTATGATAAACCCCGGAGTTCCGGAATCGCACAAGTAACTGCTCTCCGTACTTTTTCTAGTATTTCCGAGTCACCTTTTAAACAGGGGCTTGCAGCCTGAGCGCAGTTCTCTAGTTTAGTTCTCACTAAGGATGTGTATAATGTGGTGAACATGGTAGTATCAAACTTAGTGAATGTCCTTTTTAAAGCCCAGAGGGTTCGAAACCCCTTAACTGCGACCTCCTGGCAATGGGCCGTCGTCTTAAGATCATTCCTCACTGTCACCCCTAGGTCCTTATGAGACCGGACTACGGGTAATGACACATCCCCTATGTTGTACGTATTAACCTTTGAATCACCCAAGTGCATGTAGACACACTTTTCTGAGTTGATAGGCATTAGCCACTCTTTAGACCAGTTTATCATATTATTGAAGTCCGCCTGAAGAGTAAATGCGTCTTTGTCTCCAGTTATTACTCGCCAAATTTTTACATCGTCAGCGTATAATAGCATTGGAAACTGTACTATACTTGTAAGATCATTAACGTACATTATAAAAAGTAAAGGACCTAAGACGGAACCTTGGGGTTGAAATGAGAGGACAGTATCCTTCTCAGAGGTAAGGTATGATAACCAAGAATCTCATCCCTAACGGCCAAGCAATAAGGTAGAAAAAACTTATCAGTGGGTCGGGTTGCCTACATCCTCGAAAAGAATTCCAACAATACCTCATTTTCGTTGGTCTATGAATTTCGACGCAAAGTAGCAAACGATTCATCACAAACAGTAGTATGACAGTCTTTTTCTACGGCTAGATTAATACAAGTGGCACGAGGTCCTTGTGCCAGCACCTCTCATCGGTAGCATTATTTGTGTACAGATGCGAGGAGCCGAATCTCTAACAGTAAATGATTAGTCCTATCCAAGTTTACCCAGAAAAGAAAGACGTCTGTGGAACCTTTCGTCTAATATCCAGCTTAAGTCTATATATACATAATAGTATGACAAACAATGTAATTGATTTTGAGAATAAAGTCTGTACGATAATAGACCGCAGATGAAATTGTATTGTTCCCTGGAGAGTGCTTTGAAATGGCCCACGACTGAATGTGTCAGTGTATTGCTTCCTCTACACAAGTCTACATTATGGTTAGCGCGAAGTTTTTCGTTATTTACAGCAGTGCCGAAATAAATCAAACTGTGCAATGTATTTTAATTCAGAGCTAATGTTTTTGGTACATTTGTTTCTCTAAACGTCCTTAAGATACCTCAAGTATTCCCCTCAGACTTTAATTCTGTCTTAAAATGCATTCTACAAGCTCGCAAGCAGTAACTCAATTATTTCGCCTGAATACAGCAAACATTTCACTGAAATTGGGGGCAGTGATTGACGATGTCTTTCCACTGTTATAATCAATAATGTCATATGTTATAATGTTATATATATATATATATGTTGTAATGCAGCGGGTTAAGGGGTAGCGAATTATTGATCGGATCAATGACGCACAAACGCGTAGAACGACCTAGGGTTCTGATTGGTCTCGCTTCCCTGTCTAACCCAGCCGGCTGAGTCCAGAACACAAGTTTCAGCCTTGGATTTATGAATCATTATATTTCAAAGATACTTTGTTTATATACCAGTCATGCAGTCCACAACGTACCATAAAATAGAAAATAACATTGTACAATAATGGCCAGTAGGAAAATGACACGTTAAACAAATATTGACCAATAAGATGATACCATTCCACGTCCAAGGATAGCATTAGGCTTAACAGGATAATTTTTCGGATATTTTCCTGAATATCCCAACATCATAATAAATAGTCTGTCGGATAGTGTGTCACTGCTACCCATGTGAGTTCCTATCCTGCAAAGTAATATGTCTCGTATTTTCTCAACTGCGACCTATCGAAAAATACGTCCTGCATGCATGTGTGGACTCTATTTTTGAAGCCTTTAACGCATATATTGTTGTAAAGCCCGGGTTATACAACACCTAAGTTAACCTGAATGCTCGGTTTTTTTTCAAATTTTGAAACAAACTATCGAAGTTATTTCTTCCATTGTTTGAGAGGGTTAGAATCGCCCATTTACAGCTATTATTATTAGTCAGAACAAACCAATAATCGTCCTTAATGAGTGTACAACGATAAACATGAGCAGCTTCAGTAATTTATTCAGTTTATATTCCGTGTTATTTATTTTGTGGTCCTCCCAAATAGTTTGTTCAAAAAATGCACTTAGAGTTTGTTGATTAAGGAAAATGAACTTTAGGATTCTGAGTCAAGTGACAGTGTCCCATAGTGATCCATGTAAACGAAACTTCTACAAACCTGAGTATTTTAAGTGAGTGTTCATGCATACTCAGGAAACGAAATCCGAATCCTACCCGTTCCCTAAAACATTTAATCGCGTGATGTTCTTGGTGCAGCAATTGGTGTAGAATTATTTGTGGATAATGTTTTGTGTGGAGATGGATCATGCTCAGGTACGAACGTCATATCTGCCGTTGTATTGACACATCAGAAGATAATACTACCGAAAATCTGAACTTTGAAACCAAAAGGTCAAACAGTAATGCACCATCGCCCCAGAAACTATGTAGTTATACATTAAATCGTTTACTCAACGGAAATTATTACTTTTCTATTTATTTCAAAGACACTATCATAGAAGAAAGTTAAATCCAATGATTAAAACTAAGATACCATCTAGTTATTCCATCATATTGTATAACATCAGTCACATCATCATATGGTTCCGTTTGAAAATCATATCGGTTGACCTCAGGAAATAAAAAATGAGTGAAATGAAATGGGTCATCTCCTCGGTAATGACCTTGGTTGCTGTTATCACAGTAATCTGTTGTGCTAGAAAAATATACTTATTCAGCAACCGTAGCACTGCCATGATGTGGCTACCTAATCCTTCAGACTTTACGTGGAATTCAAATTATTGCACGTACCGACTCTTCCAATCAGGACAGCCAGTGGCTACTTCTAAAGACTTCTAAAGAATATATTTGCAGTTCCTAAGTTGTTTCTCATGTTTTCGCGAGACCGAGGATGGTCGCTAGTCAAACACTTGTTCATATGACCTTGAGATTGAATCGAATTAGTACAACTAAATGATGATCTAGCCCTTCTATCCCAAACGCAACAACAAATGCAGGAGAAAACGAACAGTGTAGCAGCAGCCTCAGCAGCAGTGGGTCTCAATATACACAAAGGAAAAAGCAGGATTCTCCGATACAACACAGCATGCCCCAATACAATCACAATTGACGGAGAAGATTTGGAAGATGTAAAAACCTTTACGTATTTGGGCAGCATCATTGATGAACAGGGTGGATCTGATGCAGATGTGAAGGCGCGGATCGGCGAAGCAAGAGCAGCGTATTCACAACTGAGGAACATCTGGTACTCAAAGCAACCGTCAACCAGCACCAAGGTCAGAATTTTCAATACAAATGTCAAGACGGTTCTACTGTATGAGGCAAAAACCTGGAGAACTACGAAAGCCATCATCCAGAAAATACAGGTTTTTATTAACGGTTGTCTACGCAAAATATTTCGGATCCGTTGACCGGACACTATTAGTAATAACCTACTGTTGGGGAGAACAAACCAGATCGCAGTGGAGGACAAAATCAAGAAGAAGCACTGGAAGTGGATAGGACACACATTGAGGAAAGCACCCAACTGCGTAACAACGCAAGCCCTCACTTGGAATCCTCAAGGTCAAAGGAGGAGAGGAATACTAAAGAACACATGACACCGAGAAATGGAGACAGACATAAGAAGAATGAACAAGATTTGAATAGAACTAGAAAAGAAGGCCCAGGACAGAGTGTGTTGGAGAATGCTGGTTGGTGGCCTATGTTCCATTGGGAGTGACTGGTGTAAGTAAGTAACTGATGTAGTAGAATTCTTAATATCCTGGAATTGAGTTTCATGCGAATCCTCATAGTTAATGCAAACAAATCTAGCAAATTTAAAGTAACACTACAGAACTTGTATAAGCTTTCTTTCCACATTTGGTGTGTCAATCCCTTCAATTATTCCTTCACGCAGCTGGACCCTAAGTTGTCTACCCAAGTTCCACTCGACTGCTTATTTCTGCAATTCGAGCATAAAATCCCTAACACTTTGGTTATCCTAAAGAATAATTTCATGAAACTTTGCCCTTTCACGGCCTTCAAAGTTTGTATAGTTTACATAACTTAGTACTTGTTATTTGAGTTATACAGGGAAGTGAAAGAGATATATCTGAGAATTCCAAATCTTCAAAGTTGCAGACATCCTTTCCGATGAATTTAAAAAAATGAGTCACAATGTCATTATCCTTAGCATCTTTTTATTCAGTGCTCAAGATTTCAAACTTTTCAGTGTAAGCTTCGAAGATTTCACAATTGAAATGTATATTCAACTGTCCAATCACAGACCCAATCGCGACACCAATATGATAATCAGAAGTAACCAAACTGATTTGATAACTAAGAATTCCCAAAACAGTTCAAAGTAAGGCAGGAGGACTGGATAGATACAAGTGGACGT